TTCTAAAACACAATCAGCAGAACGATCCTGTAGGAATTCCTGCTTTATTTCTTTCAAGTTTGGCTGTAATCTCACTTTGAGAATACCAGAATTTCAGAACACTGTCCAGTGTGCTAAATTAATCCATACATCGAGTTTACAAATAACTTACTATACATTTTGTTATCAAGTCTGTCAAATTTCATATTCAGCACTTTTGAAATGTAAAAGGTTACTACTCATACCCACTGGCCATTATGTCCACATGCATTGCTCAGCTTGCAAAGAAAGCCCTCTACAAATGCAGACAATTCCAAACTGCTCCAGGCAGACCAGCCAGGGTCATCAAAGATATTTGGGCACAGATGAGCACTGTGGAAGCATAGACAAGGCCAGCTGAGCCTCTGAAAAGCTGAACATGATTAAACTACACTATATGTAAGTAAAACACCTTACAGATTTTGATGCAATACAAGAGGGAGGAGATAGAGACAAAAGCATTTGGGATCATTCCTACGGGCACAGAGTGGGTCTAAATACAGTATCATTATCTCAGGAAAGAGAAAAACGTGCATGACAAGTCCTCTATTTCCTTTAATAACAGCAAACATACGCCTAGATAATGACTACATACAGCCACTACATCCTACTGTATTATCAGGGGTAATCCAGGCTTCAGCTGTGCAAGAAAAGTCAGCAACTCCCGACTTAAGCAATGAATGTGACCCAGGTACCTGGTCAGGGCTGACTCCAAGAAAACTGTACATCAGACTTGCCCTAAACACTGCCCATACAATAATACTGACTTAGAGGAACTATTAGATTCATACTAGGCACATCTCTTACGAGGAGCATCTTGCCATCAATCCCCTGGTAGAGCAGGGAGGACAGACTGCAATGCAAAACACGTACAATGTTATCTGTGCATTACAGTACTATTTGAGAGGCCTTTGCTCAACTGTACTAAACAGACACACTACCAATCCTATGATCTCAATTTGACCATTTTTCACTTCCAGAAGGATGCATTTACTCTGCGAATGTTCCATGTATTTATGAAATCACATACAGAAAACCAACTACGGTAGTAAAAGCTATTAGGAGTCTCAGTGTCTTCCTGAATTATTGCAGTCTACCCAACACTTAACATTTTGGTATACATTTGAAAGAGTGAAAAAAGGCATTTGTCCTTTTCCAAAAGAGCCAACTAACCTCCAAATCTGTAATTACACTCTCACCTAGGAAAAGGAGGAGGATTTCTATGTATTTAGTGAGCCATTCTCTTCTGAGGCTGCAGAAGAAGGGAAACACACATCTACTCTTTCCCTTCTGCAGCTACCAACTTCTGAACATCGCTAGAGACAGATGAATTTAACCCCTGGTGCAGCGTGAACTCTGGTCTGACCTCAAAGGGTGTGTCCAATAAATTTATGAGAATAAGTTTAATTTTATACCCAGGAATGGTCCTATCTCACTTTTCCCTGACTGTAATTAAGTGAAGAAAAAAAACATGAGAAACTACAGCAGACCAAACTTCTCCTTAAGTAACTTGCTCAGCTTTTAAAAAGCCCCTGGAAATGTGACCATTACCCAATTTTCTTCTTGCACCATTTTAACTGTAACCTTAAACACAAAAGGAAATGACAGAGCTTAATCATCTATCCTCTTCAAGTGCAAAAACCTTTAAATTGCATCACAAAGGGAAGACTGATCTCTAAACGAATGCTGAATAAAAAATAAACAATTATCATTATAATAATAAAAATCAAAAGTTGAAATCGTTTTTGATCTTCACCATACTATTTAAGCATATAGCTTAATAGACTTGTCCCATACATATCAGTTCTTTGTGGCAAGAAAACATACACTCTTTCATTTTATATACTCAGTCTAACATTGTTCATAAGAAAACAGAAAAGCCATCTCTGGGGCAGAAGTCTATGGCAGAAAATCAGTTTTAGACAGACTAATTTCTCTTCTTTTTTTTTTTTTTTTGGTTAATATAATGACAAATCTGGATAAATACAGAAGGATTTTTCTTTTAAGATTATCATGACTGCCATCATGCCATAAATCATAACTGATTTATCAAGCAGCCAGAAGCTTAGAGAGGCAGGCCCAAGCAGGAACACAAGAGCAAGGATTGGCCCCTTTCTCAGCAGCTGCAAGCTTGCAGATGAGCTCAGCTAGAACATAATTTCACCCCAACTGACAAAATATCTCTGTTGATGTCAATTATGAACCTTATAATGCTGACTGCCATATTCAGGCAATAGCTGAATGAGTCCACAGCACTTGGCTACTATTTCAGGCTATATAGAGACATCGTGCACTATAAACCTCCAATTTTATCTCCAAGATAATTTGTTCTTTTAAAGATTATGTCTAGTTCTGAATTTATACTAACTTGTAGTCCACATATGACCTTATCTAAGCATGAAAGTTTATCTTCAAAGGTTAAGAAAATTTTTCACAAGTTTACTTCTTGCTTGTTAAAAGGGTTTAGAGAAAACCCAGAGAAAGGATTTTTCTCCTTTCACAATCTTTGCATTAAAAAAGTCTTTGCCAGAGATAACTTATCTTTTATTCATAGTTAGAGAAGAAAATCTGGATTGTTCAAAGACATATTATCTTTCTGGCAACACAGTAAACTTTGGGATGTACAATTCTTTAACAGGTAAAGTACTGTCAGTACAGTAGTTGGAGCTAAAACAAAGTGAGGAAAACTGGGCCACAAACAATGTTTGAACACCTGCATTGCAATCTGCCCGCCAGGCTAAGGGAAAATCCTAGTATCCAGCAATTGAGACTGCACACTCTCAATTGACAATTGAGGCAATCATCAGGTTTTGCTTAGTTAAATATACTGGAAAAAGAACTTAGCTACCATCTTTGACCAGAAGTTGTAAGAAATTCTTTTTTTCTGCAAGTTTTTCTTTTATCAGCATTGACCCACTCTGCATCAGCCACATCGCTAGAACAGTTAGATACGCCTTCTGTAAATTAATTCAACCATTTTAATACTATCATTTAAAACTTCACACAGTTTTTCCTATAAGAAATATTTTAAATAAAAAAGGTAAGAATGGTGGCAGCATACAGAGGTGCAAAGTCTGCTTTTTAACTATAGAATTCAATTTGGACCACATGGTCAAAGCTTTTGCATTGAAGTCAGACTCAAAGTATTCTTTAATTTAGCTCTGCAAGATAATTAGAGAAAGATATCTTTCAAAATAATATAGCAAAACTGTATTTTCCTCAAACAAGCCCAAATATTTCCATATTATGGGCATTACCCTCAAATCCCTCAATAGTTTCTTGTAAGATGCAGTCAAATAAATCAAGTCTCCTTTTACTGACAGATCAGGCAATACATCACTATCATTAAGCACCACTGCATTTATTCCACGTTAGTGATAGTTCCTCTTTCAAAGTAATGTAGAACTGCAATAGACCAAAGATCTATCATAACGAAATATGAAATACAGTGTCAAAAATATGACTAAAACAATACTAAAATCAGGGGTTCCAGACTTTAGGAAATACTCAGAGAACTACTTACACAGAAGAGCTCAGGATCTCGGATCTCTAATCTGTTCCTCATAAAACCAGAAACAACAAATCTAGAACTTTCGAAACTGTTGAGTAGAAACCACTGCCAAACATCACTGTAGCATCAGCATGGATAAGGAAAGAGACAAACTGGAAACATCTGACATTCTTAACTATAGAACGTTTCAGAAGATACTTTCAAATCTAGAGAAAAACCTAGTAAAAAAAACAGGGCACGTGAGAATCCATAAACTGACAGTATAAGCAGAGACTGTAACATTTAACCACTAAAAATCCTTATATTAAAAATAAAGCAAGACTTAGCTCTACGATACGCATCTCACCAGCACATGAGGAAAGCTGCAGCACCTGTACCTCAGATAAATAAGCAACTTTCCTGAATCCCCTCCTCCTCTCCCCAGACACAGAAAAAGAGTTAGGCAGAGACAGACAAGCGACAAGCCACTCAAGTTCTCTCTCTCACCACTACAATCACTACTGTAACTGCACCAAATACATCTGTAGCTGTGTAGAGTCCTACTGAGCACCGGGAGAGAATAAACTTTCAGATACCAGGTACAGAAGAGCAAGGGATTTTCACTGCAATTAATTACTTTTAAAGCATTAGATATATTGTAAAGAGATTTAGGCATACAGAATTCTATTATATCAAAAGTGAATTCTACCTCAACTAACATATATGGGCAACCTGTATGATTGCAGGACAGTATTCAGTAACTCTACCAACAGCTTTTGCAGCTATTAAAACAAATCTCACACTCTAAGTTACTACTAACAGCATAGGCAGTAAACTAACAGAAGAATATCAACCTGTCTACCACACTCTACCTTTGCAGCTGGAAACACGAAAGCTAGCTTGCATATTATTGTTTCCCTCAGCTTTTAAATATGAGGGCAACTAGAACGCTCACCCTTACTTTCAGATTCCCAGACAAGCAGGACAGAGAGGGAGAAGTTAAGGCCTCCACAGTGAGCAAAGCAAGAGACAAGGAACTAAAAGAACATCCATTAAAAATTAGTTATCTATCATCTTACAGCAGAATATATAAGCAGCACAGGTTTGAAATGTAACTGTCTTTCTTATTTTGTTAACCTGAACACAAAAGAATCACTTTATTTTAAAACAAAACACACAAAGGAGATGGGTTTTCTAGTATTGCAGGTATGGATATATGGAGTTGCATTCACCTCAGTGCTAATAAAATTACTATAGTTATTTATGATGAATGTGACTGCTTCATTCCCTAAGATAAACATTTGAAGCATTTTTGACAGTTTTCCTCTTCCTCTACATATTTCTTCTTTCAAATCAACCCAGTCAGTAACTTTCAGCTTATGGCATTTGCTTCACGCTGATTAGCTGGCTTCCACACATGTTGAAAGGGAAAATCAAGGGGTCCAACACCTCTATGGTACTCGCACTACTGCCTGAATACAAAAGGACTTACCCACTGCTGGTGCATCGTATTCATCCCCAAGTAAAATCTCCGGAGCAGAATATGCAAGAGATCCACAACTTGTGGTGAGCTTCTTTCCGGGCTGAAATTTGTTGCTGAAGCCAAAATCAGTCAATTTCACAAGTCCTTGTTTTTCAAAGAAGACCACATTCTCTGGTTTTAAGTCTCTGTGAACTACATGCAGTTTATGGCAGTAGGATATAGCATGAACTATTTGAGCAAAGTATTTTTTTGCAAGATCCTCATTCAGGCCTTCTTCATGTTTCATGATGTAATCAAACATATCTCCCCCATCACCTAGCTCTAAGATAAGATAGAGCTTAGTCTGGGTGTCAATCACCTCATACAGCCGTACAATATTGGGATGCTGTACAAGTTTCATGCACCTAACTTCTTGGAAAAGATGCCCTGTGGCCAGAGTGTCCAGCTTGGTCTTGTCAATTACTTTGACTGCTACTTTTTCACCCGTGAAGACATGTCGAGCAAGTTTGACCACAGCAAAATGACCTCTGCCCAAAGTTTTATCCAAGTCATACAATCCTGCAATTTTTCCATCATATCCTCGTTTGAAGCCTGCCATACTGTTCCAGAAGATGAAATAAGTTTTAGGCTCTTTGGAATTGTGATCTTTTCATATAAGAGTATCTGATGCAAATAAATCCATTGTCACGGCCAAGCATACCTAAAAAAATAAAAAGAGGCAAGATCACATAATTGTGTAAAATAAGCAAAATCATTAAACTGTAATTCTTCTAATGTTACATTAACACATTAGTATAGACTATTACCGAGATTCAAGAGTGTTTTGAAAAGGGTTTGATAAGCAACGGTGTGGCAACCAGTAGATACCTGAAACCATGTTATCAGTGCACCTGAAGAAAGGGAATTTCAACAGTACAGCAATGAAAGTTTCCCTGAAACAAGGCAGCCCTCAAGTTCCTCAGTTAGAAGCCATGCAAGACTTGAGAATTCAGTGCTATAAAAAGCTGTTGATAAAGATGAAATCCACAGGATTTTCAGCTACTTTAGAAATCAGCAGGGCAACACATAACATTAACAGGGGGCACACACTCTTTTTAACTTAGATTTTGGCAACCAATTTTAGGCTGCAGCATGAAACTGCTGTCTTGCAATAGAAAGTTGAATGCATGACTTCAGACTTTTATCTTTGCCCTTCTCACAGCTTCCTGACTAGCAGACAGGTCAGACTGACCTAAGATTTTAGTTTGTTACTCTGGTAAACCAAAGCATAGTTAATCAATACTGTAATTACAACACAAAATGCTACATAGCCTGTAATGAAACATTTGGGTTGGATGTGCCCTCAGTGCTAAATAAAAACATTGTTTACATATTTTGGCTGGAGTTATAAAAGATGGTGAGAAGAAATTTGCATGTAGGCTGTGTTCAGCAGTCCTGGGAATGAGTCAAGGGAATGGGAAGAAACGTGGTAAGCAAGGGAGAGAATTCAAGACTTGAGCTTATATGTGCTGAACTCCTGCTTGGCAAATAATTTAGCACTTAAAAGGCAAGGGCTGATGTAGAAAATGCTCATACTCAAATCTATTGCTGAAGGTCTGATGCTTCATTGTCCTTTTAGTTTACACAGACAACTCTCCCCAAAGTTTTCCTGCATCTTTAGCTTCGATCTAAGTTTAGGAACCACTTGGAGTTATCAAGAAAGCTAACCATTCCTCCTACCTTGAGTACAACACAGCTAGAGGTATGAGAATTAAACGACTTATTGCTAACTAAATAAAAAGCAGAAAAAAAAATTTAGAGAATATTTTCCCAGTTTCAAAAATTAACTTGAAAAAGGAAAGCTTTGAAAAGGAACCTGGCAAAGACAGGTTCCTTACATTACTTCTTCTCAAGCTGAAATGTAAGCGTTAGATTGAAAACACTCCTTGCTGAACAAGTTATTTCACAAGCAGTTAAACTACTGAACCAGGTTTCACATGGATTCAATTACAAGGTTGGGGTCCTGTGGGGATTCTCTGGTGTTTAACAAGCTCACCTTACTGCTCCTCTCAGCTGGAGCCATGATATAAACTCTTCTCTATCTAGTTGTTTCCAAAATGTCTATAGGAGCTCAGTATGAAACCTCCACCCCTATAAAATTTGAATGAGATAATCAACTTCCAAAACCTCACAAGTTGACCAAAGGAGCATAGGGGCAATTGCATAACTTAATTCTTTAGAAAAAGCAAGGTTTAACAGGTAAGAAAAAAACAACTTGTTTGGGGAGGGGTGAGCTGTATTGGTAGGGATTTTTTAGAGTTTCATTTGTTTTTAATTACAGACTCACAGAACAGTTATGGTTGGAAGGGACCTCTAGAGATCATCTAGTCCAACCCCCCTACATACGCAGGGACATCTAGAGCCCATAGCACAGGGGCCACCTATGCTTCAAGATCCAGGGGGGTCTTGAAGACCTTCAGAGAAGGAGCCTCCACAACCTCCCTGGGCAGCCTGTTCCAGGGCTCTGTCAGCTTCACAGGAAAGAAGTTCTTCCTCACATGGAGATGGAACTGCCTGTGTTACAACTGATGCCCATAATTGCACTGTTTCAATTAGCAACTATGCATTATACTTCAGGGGATCTTTCAAAACCAGTCCATTTCACTAGTAGATCCAACAGCATCAAAATCTGTCACCAAGAAAAATATTTCTTGAAAAGTTATTCTGGATGTGGCTATCCAAGTTGCACTAGTGAAACACATGCCCATAAAATTAGAGTGAAAATGACCAAAACTTAAAACCAACAGTCAAAAAATTAGGAGTTTTCCAGCAAACCTAGGACATAGCCTTCCAAATTCAGAAGCTTCCACTAGACAAAGCATTGCAAAGACCTATTTTTCAAATCATCATACATTTCCTTTAAGACACACCAAGTATATCAGGTCCAAAAAAATTCTGTTTTCATAGATGTCAGAAGGTAGAGCACTGCATAGATATACACCACATACATGCTGCAGAGAAGTGCAAGTCACAACAGCTAAAACCTCTGCTGCATTTGGTAACTGTACCTCCAGAATGTCCCTCAAAAATACCTATTGTTCTTGCAATAACAACCAACCAGTATATATCTCTCAGTCTTCTTGTGCCTATCTTGTTAAGAGGGTTTACTGGACAAACAGGAAGAGAGAAAGGAAGCATCTACAATTCCAAGGAGGAGGAAAAAAAAATATTTCAGAGATACCTGAAAGGGAACTGAGGAGAGGCAACAAGCATTTGACATACCGATGCTCCAAACAACTCCTCATACTTAGGTCTAAAGGAAGCTCTAGGCAGATGCTAATCCAATAAACTGGAAGGGTAACATGCACAGAAGAGCTTCCTCTGGTTGGACAATTTTTTAACAGGCAAAGAGACTGCTTGTTCTGGGAGACTGATTCTGCACTCATTCAGCAGCAAGCATTTTGTATTTTAGCAACTGGCTTTCATGTGTGGTATTAAAATTGAAGATCATAGCATGCTTTGCACACAGAAGTTGCATAGCTCTAAAGGAGTGCGGCTGGCACATATGCTTCCTGACAAATGCCACACTGTTCATCTTACACAAGCTTCCCCCACCTCCCCGCTTAACCAACCCAATATTGTTCCACAAAGTGCCAAACTAGACTTGAATACACACAGTAGATCAAAGATCCCCCTAGAACAGTATGCTGCCTGGCAAGTGACCATTAGAGGATGCTCAGGGGAGTTAGAAAATGGCAAAGGTAATAATACATAATGAATCTCTCCATATCTTTTATCAGGTTCAAGCTTCAACAGGCTCATGCTTCTTTGCATGACAGGATGGTGACTGCGTTTAGCAACCCTCGATGGATGTTTTTCCCCTCCTTGATGGATGTTTCCCTACACAAAACCACGCAGCTTTATTAACCCAATTTTTAGTACCAAGAACATCTTGCAACAAGGAGTTTCACAGCTTGACTATATGTGTATGCGAAACACTTCCTCTTGCTTAGCATCTCCTGAGAGTACCTGCATCTTTCCATTTACTGTCTGTTTCAAAACAAGAATTATCAGGCCTTTATTTACCTCTATTATTTACCTTGCATCAAGTGACTCATGATTTGGTAGTCTCCTTCCTCACTCTTCAGTATAACTCAGTTCAAGTCCTAGTCTGTCACACCCTGTACAAAGGTGATTCTTTTACCATTCTTCTCACTTTTCTCTACATATTTCCATTTCTACTATCCCTTCTTTGAAGCTGGGGAAGAGAAAACCAGTAGCATACGCTTTGTGCAAGATGCACATAAAAAATGTGCTGATATTTTATAATATATTCTTAAAACTAAATATTCAAGCATAATAATGTTTGTTCTATATTTCCCTGTATCAGTTTTCTTTCTGACTCCTGCTGAGAACTGATACAATGCTTTCATTATTATTTATTATAGCTTATAGTATCCCATCACACTGACCTAATCTCTTCAATGTAGGCTAAAGAAAAAAGTAATCTATGAACATATGTAAACTGCCTACCCTTAATCTGTATGAAGCAGTAAATTATTCACCAGCTGTGCCCCATCTAAGTGGGAGACTACAGAGTCTGAATGCTAAATGAATTATAAGTATTTTCCAAAAAGGTGCTTTGAAGAACTGCCGCCTCCACAGCAACTGAACCAGATTCTTCACTGCTTCTATTAAAGAATCATTTTAACTGCCACTAGGACATAGCTTATATCCACAGAACTGTTTTTGCCCATAAATGAATCCCACATTCAATGGTCCACGCCAAATTGATTTTTAAAGCAATTAAAAAAACGCATCAAAACACAGCAAAGAGTCATTCTGCAATACAATCTGCCAATAGCAAACTCCAGCATTCAACTTGTCACAGACCGTTTCTCTGTTGAGTGTTAAGTCACAGTCAAGACTTAAGCCCCTGTACACAAGAATTCATCCCATCCCACAAACCTGGCCTAGGCCATGGAACTCCTTTACTCTCTGAGGAATTACGACTTTAACAGACTTTTTTTTGTGCGGTTTCGGATTCAGACACCTCACACACACAAAAGAGCTTTCTTAGTGTGCAGCACACCAGGTTAGTTGGTGGTATTGGAAGAGGTAAAAACAGCTGAAGTAAAAAACCTCTGTCCATTTTGACTTAGCTTTTCTCCAAATTCTGGGAAAAGATTCCATCCCTGGAAGAGAAGGGGAAGAAAAAAAGCTAAGAGGGGTAACAGAACATAATTTATGTGAATTTAAAGATCTATATCACTCAACTGCAAGGAAAGAGTTCATGCATAATTATTTGTTCACTTGGAACATTTTCAACCCTCTTTGTAAACTCAACATGAGATTTATTTCTAGATGACAGTATACACAAACATCAACCCGTCAAAAAAATTCCAACAAAAATCAGTTACGCCTAAGCCTCTGAGAAGTAAGTCAAACAGCAATCAATAGGATAAAATCTCACAGAAATATTAATGTCGCAGCCCCATCACCTGCAATAAAATGAATACAGATTCATTAACAATTTTGCTTCCCTTCCCCAAAAACAGATCAACTAACTTTTGACTCTATGGTTTTAGAATAAATCTTCAAAGCTAAACATGAGGATCTTGAATAAATACATAGCCTTAAGTGAACTTATCACAAGCAAGAATTATTCATTATTAGGAAATGGATGCAAAATTGTCATAGTACAAATACAAACAAACCCCG